CTGGTTAGTGTTGCCTGACTTTATAAAGTGTTTTTTTTTAATAAGTGTGTGGTTGTGTTCTAGTCACTTTGGACAGCGCTACTGCTTGTTACAACTTTCATTTGCCGTACTCGCCAGAAACTGTTATTGCTCAGGTTGATCCCGCCCCTGCCCCTGCCCCCGCCTCCGACGTAAGCGTGACGTATGCGGTTCTTGTTTCTAGACCGACCATTTTTTGGTGCTTGAAAAGCACCGGGTTTCGGAGCTTAGAGGCGGCTCTGCTGCGGTGTGAACAAGAAAAACCGGTGCTTTTCAGGCTCTAGCTCCGAACCGGCCCTGGAACCACGTTGGTGTGAAAGGGGCATTACAAACACCAGCCTCTTAAACGAACAATTTCCTCTCCCTTTGTTCCCCAGGGTCCCGCCCCCTTTCCTCACCTGAATTCAACTGATTAGTTACAGGGAGTTGACATTCATACAAACACACTTCATACTATAAACAGATGTATTATCTTAATACATTGGTGGCTATGTCACATAATGTGCAGTGATTTAGCGTTTATTCAGATGAGCAAAGTGAGAATAAAAATGTGCAGGTTTACTGCTCAGTGGGCCAGATGGTGCCGTCAGTTAGAGGGACACATTATTTGATCAACCAGATGCCCTGGTATTCTTCATGTTTATTTGTGGTAAAAGAGACCTTGACAATATCGTGGCAGACGTCATGTTTCTTTACCGGCAGATGGCTCAGAGAGGAAGGCAATCCCCTCCAGCAAACACAAAATACTTACAGGGACGTATCCAAGTTTCGAGGAGAGTCTCCGGTGACTTCCCTCCTGAACAGATTTTAATCCTGAAACAGTGAAGTCCTCTGACGGTTTCGTCATGCGGCACATAACGTTTATTTTATTGTCTTATTCAGTGTCTGTGGCACTAAAAACAGCTTTATGGACACACTATGTCTGAATTTGGGATATTCCTTTGAAAGTCCTGGTTCTAATTTTTGTCAAATGATGTGTAAGAATACAAAAAAAATACCTTTTTACTCTAACTGCCAGGACAATTACTAGTCTTTGTTTTGATACTTATTTTGGTAAAAGTTGAAAAAAATATAGGAAATAAAGATTGATTTGCTAAGCTGCACACTTTTTTTGAACAGAAATCTGTACATTGAGTTGATACAGGTTTAAATCTATTGTTTCATTTTGAGACAAAAGTTTTGCAGAGGAAATATTGAACAGCTACGGTGACCGACCAATGCAAACAAGCTACAATGACCCAAAACACCTATTAGGAGAACGCGCTGCACTTTCAAAAACGGTGTAGAAATAAAAACAACTTGAAAACAAAAAGCGCAAACTTTAATTGACCAGCTTTGGTGTGGTCTGCAGAGGAAGTGTTGAATGAAATTGATGACACTATAAAATGTGTTTATCTCCGCATGCCTTTAAAAAGCTATTAAAATAACACTTGTTAAGCAAATATGTCAGAGATGTAATATTCTGAATGGCTGTGGACTTCTACACAAGTTTACTTACTCTGATATGCATGTATATGTACCACACATTTTCCATAAAAAGTGTCTGTTTGTCTATAACCTATTTTGAACAAATGATTAGAATTAGAATCTAATATTTTAGACCATTAAGCAGTTAGGGTTAGAGTTGTTTGTAGATGTTTGGTTATCGTGGGCTATTTTTGGGTTTCTGAATAACACATGAACTCGCTCAATTCTATATGTATTGACTATATATAAAGTAAATATTTATTGTCTGGCACCTGTTCGCAAGCTATAGCTTCTTGGGGTATCTCATTTCACATGTCTCCATCCTGTCTTATGGTTGCACTTGTATTTCATATTTTTTTAAACGTACATTTTTAGCTTAGTTCAGTGACAATAACAGTTGGCCAAGGTTATAACCCCCGTTTTGAAACTGCAGTTTATTTAATTGTTTTGGGCCGTTTCAGCCACCATATTTTTCACATTCTTAGAAAATGCTAATGAGTTTCTTCTCCACAAAAATGTGTTATATTATATTTATTATATCCATATTTATTTAATTTCTTTTTAACAAATGATACTTTTAAAAAGTGTTGGGAACACAATCAGCCATTTCAAAAAGTGGTTGGGTCATGTCCCCAGTATTAATGACACCGACAGTAATCACTCTTCATGGCCACACTAGTCCGTTTATCAGTTTTGAAAGTAATGCCAATGTAAAAGATGGGCACAACATCAACAAAAACGTGCATTCATACTATAGTTCATATGGGGCTTCAGTAAATCTCCCAAAATCAAAGTGTTTTTGTATCAAATGTACAGTTAACCATTTTCTGTGAAAACACAGAAATGTTTGCAAAAATTCTTTACTGATGTAAAAGTGCTAATCTTACTTTATAACAACGTATTGAGAGTTTCCATCCATGGCATTCTCTCAGAATCACTTCCTGCTTTATTATGGACTTCTGCTGCCACCTAGTGGTCAAACATATCAGGATCATCCAATTTCAGTAAATAACAAGTGATTCAAATCTTTGTTAAAAATCTAATATTGGAATAAAAACATAGAGAGAAGGACTGGAACATCAAAAATAATCTACAGCAGCAGCTTTACAGTGCTGGAATGTAACCAAGTACATTTACTCAGTAATATAGTGCAATTTTGAGGTATTTTACTTGGGTTTTTACATTTTATTCTAGTAAAACATAACATCCTCTCAACTCTCAGAGGTAAATATTACACTTTTTACTTCCCACACTTTTTAACTTAGATTCAACTGCAATTTCATATTATTGAAAATAAAATACAAATCAGCTAGAAAATCATGATTATATCAATTGGGTTAAAGGTAGGATATGTAAGTTTGAGAAACCGGCTCGAGATCGCTAGAATTTGAAAATACACGACCGGAGAAAATCTGCCACTTCCTTATAGAGCCCCTCCTCCAACACACACGAATGTGCACATGACCAATGAGGGCACGAGATAAGTTTGTGCACAGATGGAAGGCTGACAGGCAGGTAGGCCATCCAATCATTTTAGCCGGCCTGGCTAAAATGATTGGTCGTGCTTTTTACAGTACTACGGCTTCCACAGATGACATTTTTTTATGGATTTTTTGTCAAAGCACTTAAGATATTCATTGCTATCGGGATGTTAAGAGCATTCCATGGAATATAACAAAAAGTGTATCTCGAGCCGGTTTCTCAAACTTACATACCCTACCTTTAAACTACCCAGCATAATAATAAAATATTATTAATTATAAAATAAAATGAGATCCATCAATAGGTCAAATACAATAATAATACATGTGTTAGAAAAATATCACTCGTCACCGGCTTGCTCTTCAATATCAGGATACATGTATTTATTATCCTTGCAAGAATGGAAGTAGTCATCACATACAGTACAGAGCTGCTGGGACAAATAGTTCCCAGAACAGTGTCCTTGACATGCTTATATACAAGAGAGGGTGTTACACAGTCACAAGATGGAGGAATGCCGTTTCAAAGCAGTATTCAATGTTTAGTTCAGATTAGCTAAGGCCTGCGTAAGCAATAAACATGACAGTCATATGTCTATCTCCATAGAGGCTGAATCATCATGTTAATCACATAGCTATCATATGCCTAAAACAGTGTGTCCTGACGCTCTTCTAGGTAATCATACATCCTGCCATGTACACAGCTACGTAGGGCCTTTGTTATCATGTGCTACTCTGATATTGGAAGAGCACATTCAGCATTTTCCCAACAATATGTATATATATATATATATATATATCAGTCCAAAAATGTATCATCTTGCATAATGAGTACTTTCTCAACTTTTGATGCTAATAATTTTCTACCTTTTATTTAAGTAAGGTTTTGAATGCACAACTTTAAGGGAGAGTATTTAAACACTATAATATTTTTATAATATTTAACTTTCCAATTAAATTACTAGGTTGGCTATGATAATAACAATGCATTTAATTTATATAGCACTTTTCAATATAAACAAAGACACTTTACAAAAGTCACACTTAAAGAAGATAGTCACACAAAAAACAGACAATGCTTTGTTAGCTTGCTATAGCTTACGGCAGATCTGCAATAATTTCGGAAGGAATCATGCAATCACACTGTTATAATAAGTCAATACAACTTTTTAGGTAGGTTTTCAGTGACAGTATACACTCAGGAGACAATTGTTTCATTTGAAAAGTCAGATTTTGAAGAAAAATAATATGGCTCAGTGCAAAATGTTGTTTTCATATTAAAATGAGTTTTAGAGTTTTCCACAGTGGCCGACAGGTGCAAACGCGCTACAACGGCCAAAAACACTTACATTGGGAGCAACGTGCTGCTCAAAACACAACGAAATCAGGGACACTAAAAAAGTGATGCACACAGCTGGGACTGAGCGCTTGTTGAAGTTCAGGGATTATGAAGTTGGCCAACTGTAAACTGTCAATGGAAGCTAACCTAAAATGTTAGTTTTATTTTAACAATGTGATCTCATGATGATCAATGATGAACATAGCAATTTCAAATATACTGACAAAACACTTACAAGTAATAAACAGACTCTGCGAGAGTCACAGTTGGACAACTTTATAATACCCGAAGGTCAACAGGCGCTTAAGGTCCCAGCTGTGTGCGTCACTTTTTAGTTGACCCGTTTCTGTTGTGTTTTGAGCTTCTTGCAACAGTTTGTTTATCCAGCGCTTTTAGTAAACGCTGAGCTTGATTCTTCAAGTTGGTGAATTCTTTCTAAATACTATGCCTGTGTTTTCAAGTTAGTGGAGATGTTTCTTCATTTGCACGTGTTTTCGCAAATTTGTGTTGGATATTTACATCTTGTTGTGCAGCACGTTTACCCTAATGTAAGTGTATTGGGACCGATGCGCGGTTTGTATGGGCTGTAAAGCTCCACTGTGACTTCCTCCCAAATGACACATTTCCGCTGTGAAGTCAGAAAGTGACATGCCTCCTGATGGCATCAACTTGACATGAAATGCACCCCGACTCTTCCGCTGTGTTCAGAGAACAGGAAGCAGAGTCACAGGAAGCAGAGTGCACGCGGCTCATTGTCACCCTGCAGCAAAACTGTTTTATATCACTAAATACACCAGAAAGTTGACATCTGAACCATGAACAAACGAAAACTGAGTAAGTTATATTTTAGTTCATCATATTGTTGTGTAATATTTCTGATGTGTTGTGTTTCCTTACATTTTTTCAACAAAGTCCCTATTGCACAAAAAGGACAAAATACAATACCTTCATAATATACCCTATAGTACCCACGGTGCAATTGCTAGAGGGTAAATTAAGTTATTTGGACGAAACAACAGGAAGTAGACTTTAATTTAGAGGGAATATTACAACTTTTTATGAGTTTTTTATTTAATAAAATATTTTTTATTTAAAAGTACAACTCTTTTCATTCCAAATCTAACATAAGACTGAGTTAACGAAATGTATGGGGAATATGGAAACCAAATATTGTACCTGGAACAACATTTACATTTTATTTACTTATATACAAGTGTATAAAGCACAATGCATTGTGAAGGATTCAACCATTGGTTCCAAACATGTTTGACAAAACACCACGTTTAATTTGGGTTCCTTTTCACATCTCAGATGTCTTTGAGTAGTTAGCAGTTCCCTCCGTATATGGCTTAAACTTATTTGTTTCCTTCTTCCCTTCTTTGTTAACCTCTCCAATGTATCTGTGAGTCTTTGGAGGGGCCCAACCAAGTTGTAAACAACTGCAATAAACTAAGAAACTTTACATCAAGCTATCTCCACCCTGAGCTGCAGTAACAGTTAAATGCTGCTCTAACAATGTTGTGTCATTAACAGGAGTAAAATAACTTAGAGGGGACATTTTACTGCAGAACACATGTATTTCCTACTGGAAGTTGATATTTGCCAAAACTGGCACTTTAGCCTAAGAGTAAGGCACAAGACAGAAAATCTGTGAAAAAAAGCATGTTCATGTGCCTCCTTTTAGTGCTCCTAACTGCGTAATGCTAGAACTACAACAAATACAAGGAGGAACAGAACCAAAGGAATACAACCAATCAGAGCTGAGTAGTCTCTTATGCAGTGTCAAATATGAATTTAGGACACTGTTACTGCACTGCCTAATTCTGCCCCAAATATTTGAGTGTAATATGTAGCTGTCAAATGAGAGAGATTGCTCCAGCTCGTAGGAGGAGCTTGGTTTTGGCTGATCTGTTTTTCTATATAGTGGCCAGGTCATTTTATCTGCGCTGCCTAATCTGACAGTCGGAATTCACAAACAGTAACATTGCTTTAGAGACTCTTCAGCTGTGATTGGTTGGTTTCCTTCAGGCCCGATTTCATCTTGCAAATGCCTTTAGAGGCACTTGCAAAATGCACTACAGTCTATGTTTGAAAGACTATAGGATATCTTAGAGGGACAGTTTCAGAAAATATCGTAAAACAGCATTTTAGAAAAGGTTACCAACTGAACCTTTAAGTACATCTAGATGACAATACATATTTTTTCTACTTAAGTAGGGGTTTGAATGCAGGACATTTGTGTGTGTTGAGATGGAGTATTTTTATACTGTTGCATTGGAACTTATGAAGGTTGGGTGTGATTAAGTGCCATCTAGCACTGAGGCTGCAGATTGGTTACTAAGGTTATTGAATATGTAATTGTATAGGAGGCTTTTGTTAACTCATGTTTACGAGACTTATACAAATGTATTTGTTTCCCTGCCACAAATTAAATGAACACCAAAACTATGGCATCTTTGTTGGATTTCAAAATGTTTCACTCTTAACATCAGTCTATACTGATGTAAGAGTGAAAGAGTGTACTTTTTTTTCTTTTTTCTAAAGAAGTAGAAAAGTGATGGAGACTGGAGTTTCCTCCCTATTTTTTAGCTGTCATATTGAAGAATAGATCCTGCTGAGTGTGAGTCAGCTCTCCTCTGACAGACAGAAAGTGTGTTTCCGCTGCAGGAGGGTAGCCACGGCCCTGAAGAGCTGTCAACATCACGCAACACCTCCTGCCAACGTGTTCCCAAAACCAGCTGAGCAGATTTGTTTGCTGAACTTAAACCGTCAGTTTTGTAAACTTAAAGGGGCCCTATTATGCTTTTGGGGGTTTCCCCCTTCCTATTGTTATATAGGTTTTGTGCATGTAAAGACTGTAACATCACGCAAAAGTACTAAACAGTAGTAGTAACAGTTTCATGTACAGTACTTGAGTTGGTCTACTTAGTGACTTTCCACCCAGGAAAATACATTCTAGTAGACACAGGAGGCTGATACAAGTTTATACGTGTAATCCTTTAAAAGAAAATGATCCATTGACACTTGTTTCACTGTGAATGAGTGTGTTTGTGTGCTTGCTGTTTGTCCCACTCACACACAGTTTTTTGGTGCATTGTAAATGAAGCATAGATGTGTCTTTGTGCAGTTTGAATGGACAGCGTCCCAGCTGAGAGCAGAGTTTAAGCAAAGACAGCGAGTGTCTGCTGAAAGGACAGCTCTGTGCTTCTCTTCTTCTGCTGTTAGACTCTATAGTTGTTCACTAGTTGAAGTTGAATTTCACCCATGAGGGATCTGCCCCCACTGCGCCAGATTAATAGACACAGAAAAGTTTCGGCCATGTTGACGTCTTCACTTTTACATTTTCGTAATAAAGAGATAAAAAATGTCCCTTGATAACAGCTTCTGATAATTTGAGGTTTGCTGTTTCCCACGCAACAGATTCTATCTTGACGCTGTATAGTTCAGTTTTGTTGTATCTGTGTTTTAATTTAAGAAACACATAAAGAATCAGAAACAGGTTTATTGCCAAGTAAGTTAACACATACGAGGAATTTTGAGAAGATTTGGAGAAATCCTGCTGTACAGTGTGCTGTCCTTCTCAGAGTGTCCTGGATATTATTTTCACTTTTGTGAGTCCATACAGAGACATATCTAGAATGTATTTAGCCTAGCTTAGCACAAAGACCAGAAGCAGAGTGAAACGACTCCATCAAAAGTGAAAAAATAACCCCCAAAACAAAATGGATTTTAACTTTATTTAAGAAAAGTCAGTTGTATTTGTTAAAACTTCAAACCTACTTCAAATGTTGAATAAAACATCTGGTCCGCTTCAACATTTTGGTAATGCTAATTTGCTGTCTGGCAGAGTCGTTACATCAGATATGGATACCACTCTCATATTTTTCCATTATATGTAAAGCTAGTGTGCAACCAGCAGACAATTAGCTTAGCTTAGCATAAAGCTAGCTAAGGAACAGCTAGCCTTATTTTGTACAAATTAAAACATTATTTAGCCACTTGTTCAAGCCACTTTTTGTGCAGTCTGCAAAGGCTAGAATCTCAGAGAGTTTCTCTCCCACACACTCACCCTGTCTGAAAGGCCTCCATTGGACTCCTTTGTTTACTCCTGCAACATAGTGACATCACTATGTAGCACTCGTGCTTCTTTTGGCTAGCGCTTCATCATATTGTTCATGATAAGCTAAGGAGCCGGAAATCTCTGAGCAGTTCACCAATCATAACAGATCTGACCAGCTAACCAACAGATCAGAGCAGAGACAGCATCTCACTTCTCTCGCCTCCACAAAATCTTCAGTCTATATATAGCTGAGGAAATAAATATCCTTCAGAGTCTAAATAGGTCCCCGGGGCAGAAACATAATCAAATGCTGCTGAGAGCTGGAGCGATTATAATAGAAACTATGAGAGTTTCAGCAGATGAGGGTACAACAACATTCCTCTGATGTCTCCGTGGAAAAGAAAACATTTTTTTTGTGTTTCACAGAAGAAAGAAAACATGTAATGTTTGCAGCTGCTGGTCCCATTTGTGACCTATGTCCAACATTATTCTTTAATTGTCTTTAAAAATGTACAACCACATCTCGCAAAGGCAATAGTGCTGTGACTCATTTGCAGGAACACTGGATGTAATAATGAATGTCAGAATGCTCAGATCTAAGGTTAACGTTCACAGGTTGAATTTCCCTGTGCTACTGAATGTCATATTTTAAAAGAACCTTTATAATTTCCTCTATGTCCTCATCCAGTAGATTACAGTGTCTCAACATTAATGTTGAAACCTGTAGAGCAGTTGGTTATAAGCATGTATCACAGTTATTTTAACCTTTGTGTTGTCAACTTTCTCCCGGAAGGTTTTTACTGCTTAGGATTCATATAGTATAAATGGTCATTCCATCAAAAAAATAATGTTGTATATTTTTGGAGTTCACGGTCAATAGACCTTATTTCTTATAAACCATGGATGCTAATGTAGACATTTCGATGAAATACCTATAATGTCACAATGGCAATTTCAGCACAGAGGTGTTTTGCCGCGTATCATGTGAATGCAGCTTAACCTCCCCCTACTTTGAAAACTTTCCAGGTTTCAAATGGTTTGGGAGCCTCACTAATCTCTCCATCCGCCGCCTGTCAGAGAAGGCCAACATCAAGGCAGGCCCAGAGCATGATGGGAGACTCGGCGGTGCCAAATCAGCAGCAGGGGAACAATCAGTGGATGACATGGACGACTGCCTCCGCAGCCCCAGCTACGCCCGCTCCAGCGAGATGCACACACATGTGGGCACTGTGCCCCGCACCCAGAAACGGAAGAAGAGCTTGAAGGGGCTGAGGGAGGAGAAGAAGAAAGAGGAGGAGGGGGTGAGTGAAGGGCAGAGCCAGTGGAAGGCGGGGGACCATGTCCGAGACTCCCCTCTGCTCAGTGCCCTGTCCAGTCTAACCAGCATGGACCGGCCGCTGCCAGCCACCCCGACTCCCAGCCGGGCTTCACCTCTGACCTTTGTACCTAAAGGCTGCGTCAATGATCCTTCAGTGGACCCCATTAAAAACCAAGGGTCACAGCAAAGGAGCAGGGATCATTTAGAAACTAGTAGAGATGTAAGAGAACCTTTAAACGTGGCAACAAACGGCACCAAAACGGCTATGCACCAGGATGTTTACGTGCCGATGGACCCGATAGCAGAAGCAGCTCTCGGCCACGTGGGCGACCAAACAGAGACGCAGCTTGTTGTCACGTCAAGAACACAGGAAACCATGAAGACTGTGAACGGCTCGCAGGAGGTGAAGTGCAGGTGAGAAAGTTGAATTATTTATATTGACTTTTTCCGGAAACATATAGGGTCTCAACCCCAAATATATTCTGTGGGGTTTACTTTTTTCAACCTGCTTTTAAACTTAATTTATAAGGTTTAAAGAAACACTGCAAAGTAATCTGCCACTACAGTGAGATTATATAAACCTGAATAATATATCAGTATTTTGATACAAGTCCAAATAAACCAGATTGCTGCACCAGGATGAAATAAAATACACTTTTATATGTATTTTAAACGTTTTTTTTAAATTGGTTGAACATTTAATCAGATTTGAGCATTGGCATATAACTTTGTTTATGATTGGAAATAGGACCTACAACTAAACAAAGGGAACAATTAATTTCTGTGATCTTAGCCTACAATTTTAAACTATTCTAGTAACACAAATTATAGCTACGTTTTAAAATACAGACTGCATTTTCAATATTCAACAACAATGGCTTTTACCACCAAGAAAGATTTTTTAAAAGCTAGAGTAGTATGTGCAGCAGCGGCGGACATGCGCAGTAGCTGCCTGCCTGCCGCTGTGGTTCAGCCCGTCAGATGGTTCGGCAGAGCGTGTCTCTCTGTGCGGGAGAAGATGTGTGAAGTCCGGGGCGCTCTTTCTCGGTCAGACCGTTGTGGAGAGCGAGAGAGAAGGTGAGGGAACAAAGTAATAACATAATTACTATTATTAATTTTGAATAACTACTATTAATCATAGCAAATCAGTGACACGTTTCTAAATAACTTTGCATGTAGTCTGTGTTTACTGTATTTAGGACCGCGAACACATCAGTTTTCGGTTAGTTTGGTGCCATTAAAAACGTATGGTCCTGACTAGTAAAACATTTGACTTTGAACTCAGTGTGTTACCAGCTGTGTGTCTGTGTTGGACATGGAGAAGTGCAGGCTGAAACTGGACGGGACTATATGTTACATAAGAGGAGGAATTTGATCCTGCTCTGCTTTCAGTCAGAATGGTGATAAGGCTTTGTTGGCAGAGATGCAGATCCCTGTTTCACTTGTTCCTGTCTATCTGTCGGCCTGTCTGTCCTATCTGCTTCAGTCTGACCTGATCTGGAATTAAGTATTCAGATATTTTTATTCAGTGAAAGTACTATCACCACACCTGAATGTAGTTCACTACCTGTACATTTAATTCAAGAGCATCTCAGCTAATATCAGAGGAATTTTGAATGGTAGAATGAGACGCAGCATATGTGTAATTAAAATATTGTTCATATTTGGCATACTTTTTGGAAAGGTGTGTTGTGTAAATGGCTTCTGAATATACGTTTTTATTTTTTGTATCTTTTGTAAAAGATTGGTTCTAATCCGTCAAATGTCTTGCATCGTTGCGCTATAAAAGTAATTTTATATTATTATTATTGTTATATTGTTGTGCAAATACCTTTTTTACATTCTTGTGGAAATCCGGAAGTGAGAATAAAGGGGTTAAAAGTATGTTTTCAAGCATCTTGAATATTGCATATGACATTTCTATTGGAATTTAAGCTACAGTACTTAACCTACATGTGTAGTTCAAGATGAGCCGAAAACAATTAAAGTAAAGAACATGGTGCAAGTTATCCATACAAAAAAAAGTACTAAGGATTTTCAATAGTGTGTTTTTGTAATTAATTCGAATTATGTCCAAAAACAATAAATCAATAATTTAAATCAAGTTGCAGAATTTACTAAACCAATAGAATGAATATTTGAAACTTCAAAAAACATATGTGTAATGTCATGAATATCTTCTGACACGTAATCTCCTGTGGTTAGCAGATAAGGACAAAGTCACGTGTAGTGAGAGGTTCTACGTTGGCCGACAGGGGCAAACACACTACAGCCCTAAATGGCCAAAAACACTTGCATTAGAAAGAACGCGCTGCACTTTGAAAAACACAAATAAAAAGACACAGATGTGCCAAAACACATGAAAATAAAGAAAACATTGTCACTGTTGGCAAAGTTGGCTGTTTCATAATTTTACGTTTTGACAGTATATTTTAAATGACTTGTAAGCTACGTTAGCTAGCTAGCTTACAGCAGATCTGCAATAATATCGGGAGTAATCATGCAAGCGCATTGTTAAAATATGCCAATAAAACGTACATTTAAGGTCTGCTTCCAGTGACAGGGATAGTTGTTGTCTTCTTGCAGCATTTTCTATTTGCACCGTTTTGTGTTTGCTGCGTTTTATTTATGACACTTTGCATGTTTCAGCAAGTTGGTGAAGATGTTTCTTCATTTGCGGGTGTTTTGGCACATGTATGTTTTTATATATTATATGCAGCGCGTTTCTCCTAATGGAAGTGTTTTGTGCCATTGTAGTGTGTTTGCCCCTGTCGGCCACCATAGGTTTCTGCCAAAAGATGGTTGAATGAACAAAGGCAGCTTTTTGCATCCCATCTCGTACCAACAGTCATTGTTTCTTTCAACAATGTCGACAGTCTTTCCTTTACTTTCCCAAGCATTTTATGGTTTGATTTATCAAAACATAAATCAGAGAGGTGCACCTGCTACAAAAGTTATCAACAGTGGAAATGGATGCTGTTAGTTAAGGGAATTTAAATGTAATGGCCCTATTCTTATTTCTAGTTGGGTAAGTTGGCTGTTATCATCTATTGGTAAGGTGGATCACTACGGGGACGTTTACGTAATTTTGTTGCCTAAACCTAGCTAAGTAGTTCTGTTTCATAAACCCAATCAAGAAGTTTAGTTTTCTTAACCTAACAAAGTAGTTTTAATGCAACTCACAACGTTGAAAACATGTGTAAGTTCTGTCCTTTTGTAGGTAAATGCAGTTTGCCCTGTCTGAGACATTATAATGCAGTGATAAGTAAGGTATAATGTGCGTTGAGCCCATCATTATTCAGAAAAACACAAACAAGCGCATTGAACATGATCCCGCTTATAACACGGCTGCTTACAAAATATACAAAATAAACGACGAGTTGACTCAAAATATTGCTTTAAAAAATGATTGTATTGCTTATGTTAAGGTTTCCTACCTTATAACCGTCGAATTCTCTTCACACTTTATTTTCCATTTACCAGTCTTTAAACAATGCGAGAGCTCAGTGTTCCCTTTAGTGTTTACCACGTGTATTTCTTCTTCTGCTGATTTCTCTGTCATCCTGCTCTCTGTGTCTTTTAACCTCTTTCATTCTCTTTCTCGTTATTGATTTATTTTTGCTTTGATCTACTTGGGGACAATTTAGCCGTCATGAGTCAAAAGCACTCCTTACCCCTAGATTCCACCGGGTCCGCCTGCGCCGCTTTGCGGTTTTGGTCCGGCCTCCTCCGGCGTCATACCCTACCAGGCGCGTTTCAGAAGCATTTCAGAAGCGGAGCGTCTTGCCTGCCGGCTCGCAGTTTTTATTGATTTGGGCATATTTCCTGGACAGGCTACTTTGTACAGACAAAGTTAATAATAACTGTAATATTCCAGTTATAAACGACATGAATCAAAGATGTGTTGCTGTATTTTAGTGGTAAAAAAATGCATTCATCATCATAATTATTCTTTATATATAATGTACACAGTGCCTGTAAACCGGAGGAGAACGCTGGCATTTCTCCTCCTACTTGAAAGACTACGGAGGGATAGGGTCTGCAAAATTAGTTTGTGTGTGTGTATATATCTATATATATATGCTATATATGCTCTGAAAGTTCCACTTCCTGCCTGCCCGACCTTACGTTACGGCTGCGCCGCGACAAAAATAGGATTCGATCCTAATTTTAGAGGAGCCCTGCGCCGAGCCGCTTCTGGGACGCTTCTGAGCCGTAACGCGCCGCGTGTGGTGGAATAGCACCCATTGACTAGAGTGGCCGCGATCGCCGTGAGCACCGCTGCGCAGCCGTAACGCGCCCGTAACGCGCCCGTAACGCGCCTGTAACGCGCCCGTAACGCGCCCGTAACGCGCCGCAGACGGACCCGGTGGAATCTAGGGGTTAGGCTCTTGGGCACAAAGGAGGGGTTCGGCCTGAGTGTCGCCCCGCTCTGGTCACCCCGGATCAACAAGCAACTTGGGTGCACCGATAGAGCGGTTAACTCGGACACTCTCTTGGCTGACGTTAAGGCAACTAGCAATGCTGTCTTCCACGACAGTGCTTTCAGGGAGGAGAGCTCCAGAGGCTCAAATGGTTCTGTGACCAAAGCCTCGAGCACCAACGGCAGGTCCCACTGCGGGGCGGAGGCGTGCACTACTGGGCGCAGCCTCCTGGGATCCACTAGGATGACTGACAGACGTTCTCGCCTCACTCTCCCCAGGAGAGGGAGAATGAGACGCAGCGGTGGAAAGGCGTATAGCAGCTTTCTTGGCCATGGTTCGTGTGCGAACGCGTCCACCCCCAAGGGCGGGTCGTCGCTCTGAGCCATGGAGAACCACAGGGCACAGTGGCTGTTGCGCCGGCTGGCGAACAGGTCCACCTCTGCTCTCCCGAACTGGGCTCAGATCTGCTTCTCCACCTCCGGGTGAAGCGTCCACTCGCCTGGCAGGGGGCCGCCCCTCGACATGAGGTCGGCCCCTCTGTTCTCCAGTCCCGAGATGTGGAGGGCTCTCAGAGATAACACCACCTCTGAAGCCCATAACCACAGTTTCTCCGCTGTGGTCAACAAGGCGGCGGAGCGGACTCCGCCCTGCCTGTTGATATATGCCACTGTGGTGCTGTTGTCGCTCCTGACCAGTACATGTCTCCCCTGAATTAAGGGTTTGAAATGCTGGAGGACCAACACTACTGCCCGTAGCTCTAGGAGGTTGCTGTGCCGTGTTTCTGTTAGAGACCAGCGCCCACCTATAGCTCTCTTCAAGCAGGTCCCTCCCCATCCTGTTCTGGATGCGTCCGTGAACACTGTGATGTAGGAGGTCACCCGTCCCAGTGGAGACCCCCTCCGGAGGTGATCCGGGGACCCCAGAACCGGAAGTTGCCATCCACTGAGGGGGGGATGGTCACCAGACGTCGTTTGTGCCTCTTGGGATCTA